CTGGATGCTAAAGGATTATTGGGTTCCTCTGGTCACAACCTGCTTAAAAGTCTCCTTTTTCAAGGTCTTGCTTGAAAGCTTCCTGGATTCCCCCAGGGCATAGGTGGAAAATTAAGATACATACGTATGAAACGATAAAGCAGCATACACATATGGGCAGATGATGCAGGCACAGGGAGCTTGGGCTCTGAGAACAGACAGGTCTGGGTTCCAATCTTGACTCCGTTTCTTCAACTTGAGCACAGTTGTTTAACTTCTAAATTGAGGATGAAAAATACCTGTTACACTTCTCAAAATGCTTGTAAAGATTAAATGAGCAAAATGTATGAAGGCACTTGGAAATTAGAAAGTATTCCACAAATATTACTCACTATGGTTATTGTTTGAGGTTTGGAAGTGACCAGACCCAGTGCATGTTTTAGAAAGGCAACTCGAATAGCTGTGAGATGGAGGAAGTGCAGGGAAGAGAGGCAGGTGGTTGAGAGACCAGGTAGATGCTACTGCAATTGTCCAGGCAGCAAAGGATGAGGTCCTGGACCAAGGCAGGAAGGATGAATAGGGAGGGTGTGTCTAGTGCCCTGCTGCAGAGAGAACCAACAAACATTGGCACTAATTGGATGGGGGGAGGGGGTAGAAAGACAACCAAGAGCCAAAGGTGAGAACTTTGGTAAATTGCGACGCCATGAACCAAGCCAGGCCCTTGTTACTTTCTAATTGCTGAAATCCTTAACCAAAGGTGGGGAAAGGAGGTTACCCCAGGGCTTGACTTCTGTAACCTTGTCACTCACTGGCCCTGGCACTCTTCATTTTGACTCTCCCCTTCTCCATTCCCGCGCAACACCTGGAGTAGAACCCACTGACCTGAAGCCACGCCCAGGAGAGTTCTTCCCTCCAGTGTGCCTATTCCCGTGCCTCAGCATGACGGTGACCGTTAGAAAGTGCCTGTGCTAAGGAGCCCAGCTCTACCTTGGCTGGAGGGCCCGGGCGAGGCACCTCCCCTTCCCCTGCACAGGGGCTGGGGCACGTCCCTCAGCCCCGCTCATTTCTTCCTTCCTGGACATGAGTGAGTAGCTGAGAGGGCCCACGGCAGCTCATCTTCAAGCTGCACCTGTTTGTTTACGGGGAGCCCCTTGAATAAGTGGACAGCTTCCAGGGCAGTAGGAGAGTGCCTGGGCCATGGCTGGGAGGTTGCTACACTAGCAAGGGGCATCCTAGCCTGGAAGGGTGTTTGCTGATGAGAAGGGCGTTGGGAGAAGTGATTTCCGGGGGTGCGGGGGTAGGGGAGTCGACTATTAGCAAATGACTATTCCTTCGTCCCTGTGTGCTCACCCACTGAATTTGATCATCTTCCTCTCTGCCAGGGAGCCTTCATTCCTCTTCTCTCTTCTTTTCCCATGGGGCTTTGGTCATTTCATCGTCTGTGCCACAGAGTGGCTCTGGTCCCCTGCGCCTGGCAGTAGGCTCTGTCTCCTTCCTGTCCCTCTGCTTTCCCTCATCTCGCCATCTCCTCTCCGTGCCACCCCACCTTCCCATTGTCTGTCTGCTGGAGCTGGGTGCTCTTCTCACGCTCCTCCCTTTTTCATTTAACCTCTACCAGCCATCAAATACCATTTCAGGCCTTTGTGGCGTCGATGTCATTGGTTTTCAGTGGCAGCCCTTATAGAGCAGCACAGGACACAGGACCCCAGAGGAAGCTCAGCGCTGTGGTTAGAGCGCCGACCTCCGCGAGCTGCTTCTCTTCTCTGGGCCTTGTTTCCCCAACTGTTAAACAGGAATTTTAATAGCGCTTACTGCGTAGGGTGGTGTGAGGATTACATGAGTTAATGGGTGTGAAAAAGTTCATACAGGGCTGGCATATAATCATTGGTTAGTCTGCATTAATCACGGTTGTAATTAAAAGCATAAAGGGTAGCTGTGCCCTCGGAGGGCCAAGGGAACAGAACACAGCATTTTGAAACCTTAGTTTGTCGCGCGACAAAGAAAATCCCTTTCAAAACAGAGCAAGCAGAGGGTGTGAGGGCTGACTGGAATGAAACTGACCTGGGAAGGCTTCCTGTGGGAGATCGAATGGGGTGCGTTTCTATGCAACTCTTTTTTTTTTTTTTCTTCTGTGCAACATTTTAGGGAAATCAGAGTTGCAGTCTGGGACCAAAGAAAAGGGGAACGGGTGCACAGAAGTGCCTGCTCAAACACTCTCTTCTGCTTCACCCCTTCTTAGTGCTGGCACTGTCTGAACCTAGTGAATCCTACCCTCCTTGCCCACAGGGAATTTGCCAAAGAGAGAGAGCGAGTGGAGAACCGGAGAGCGTTCATGAAACTGCGACGCCAGCAGCAGATTGAGCGGGAACTGAACGGGTACCGTGCCTGGATAGACAGAGCAGGTAAGGCCTGGTGGGCTGGGGGAGGCTGGTGGAGGGGGGCTGCACAGATGGCAGGGACTCCCCGCTTCTCACTCCTGATACTTCCACTCAAAGGGACAGCCTCCTCAAGAGGACGGAGAAGCTCTAGATGGCCTCATTTGCTTTTGGGGTACCCTGCTGCTCCCACTTTCTTCCTCTGGCGTTGAACAGTCCCTGTTCTTCCTACCAAACACCGTTCGTGAGGCAGGCATTTTTAGCCAGGTGAACTGAGTGAAAGGTGACATAACCTGGTCCTGGAGCTGACTTTGGGCTGGTGATATTTTGCACTTCTACTACTACTACTAACACTCCATTCATTCCACGCATATTTGTTGTGTGCTCCCTTTATGCCAGGTCCTGTTCAAGTACTTGGGGTACAGCAATGAGCCAAAGCTCTACTCTTGTGGGGCTCCTCTAGTTGGGGAAAGCAGCAATGGACAAAATAATAAGTAACTTGTAAGGCGATAAGGTGATAAGTACAATGAAAACACCCAGGTAGGGTCTGGGGTGGAGGGGAAGTTGCAGTTTTAAATAGCGGAGTCAAGGTAGGCCTATTTGGGGGAGAGACTTAAAGGGAAGGAGAGGGGCGAGCCACAGAAGATGAGCGGGAGGAACAGTCCAATGCCAAGGCTGTACTATGGAGCGACCAGAAGTGCTCCAGGAGCAGGCAGGGGGAGTGAGTAAGGAAGAGGGGGCAGGCGACAGGTGAGGGCAGTCATGAGGGGCGTGGGCAGCAGATCGGGAATGGCCAGCACTGTAAGGGTGGGTGAGGCAGGCACCACAGGAGGGTTTGGAACAGAGGAGGGACCTAAGATTTTGAAGGAACGTTTGGTTGCTGTGTTGAGAATAGACAATAAGAGGACCCGACCAGAAGGAGGGAGACCAACTGCGTGGCCATCTCAGTAAGCCAGGTAATAGATGGTGGCGAGAACTGGGTTCTCCTATTCCCTGAGCTGTCATCAGTCAGGTCCTTCCTCTGTGGCTTAGCATCAAGAATGATTCTTGCCCAGCTCCCTGAGCCTAGGTCCAAGCCTGTCATGATTTCATTCACCCACGGAGCCATCAGGTTCAAGTTAGACTGTGGGACAGCTGTGTACGAGGGGCAGCGGTCGCCCCACTTCTGTCAGTGAAAAGGTCGCCTTTGCTTTTCTTACTAGTTTAAAGGTTGGATTGCATTGGCGTTATATATCTTCATTTTCTTCTTGAGCAAAGAGTAAAATTTTTTAATAAAAAAGAAGTACACATGATAGCATCTTTTCTCTGTTCCTGGTAGAAAGCATAGCACACATGTGAGGTCTCCCAGGAAAAATCTGGAATATGATTTGGTGCTTAGTTGTCTGAGCTTTGCAGTGACACTGTGACACTCATTCGGATCACCGACACACAAAGCACTCCCTCTCAGCTCTGGGTTAACTTTTGATTCTCTGTCTGGGGTGAGAGAGCATGGGTGATTGAAATGCGGTTTCAAAGCCACATAAAAACCACACACACACACACACACACGCACACACACACCTGGGACTCAGCATTTCTTTGCCTCCTCTGGAAGCGTGAGCCATGAGTGTCGACTGCACTTCCATTTCATCCTTTCTCCTCTGAGGCTCTTGTGTGGAGGTGAACGTGATATCGCCCCCCACCCCCTTCCCGGAATGGTAACTCAGCTCTACTGAGCAGATTTGCTGCCAGGCCAGGCAGGCAGCTTGAAGTTCCAACTGTCATTGGCTTCCTGGGTGGAGGAGCCATCTGACAGACCACCCTAGCAAGCGGGCTGGCGGCAGAACTGGGAGAGAACCCTCGCGCCCTTACCAGGTCCCCACTCCGGGTCAGGCGGCACAGATGCTGCTTGCTCTTTGTGGCTCTGCTTTTTAAATACACGCAGAATTGCATGGCTGCACTTTCTTCCAGTTGGCAAAGCCAGCTCTCTCCTCCTTCTAAGAAAAAAAGACGCACTGCGACGACGTCAACGTGTACTTCCTGGCCCTTCCCTTTACAAATGGAGCGCGAGTGAATCAGAGACATATGGGTTACATTTCCCTAGAAAGACATGCTCAAGATCGAAAGCGAACTTGGCAAAGGCATTGGGGAGGGGGGGGGGCGCGGTTTCAGCACATCCAGAGCCCTTGAGCACTTCCCAGAGAAACTCAGCAGCACTACACACCTTTATCCACCTTGGGGGTCCTCAGATCTGCCTACCCCAAAGCCCAGACACTGTACATAGCAAACATGACTCTGGCCAAGGTCATTCGTGTTACTATGAGGCATTTTAGAAAGTACCTAATTTTAAAAGGACGCCCTCAAACATGTGCTGTCCAATGACTGTGAAACCCTTTAATGTCTGCATAAAGGAACATCCCACCCATAACACCAAACCTGTTAACTTAGAGTTTCGCCTGAGGCTGTACTTAAATAAGAAAGCTAAACATTATGACTTGGTATAATGGCCATTCTGCACAGTCCCCTCCGAGCCTCAAAATGTCCTCCTCCCTGGGAAATACGTTATATGCTCTCACTTTTCTATGCAGGTGGAATTGTGGTAATGACTTTACCCTCTTCTGCTTGTCCTTGTACTTGTTACAAGTGCTTAAATTAAACCATCGTTTAACAGGGCCTGCTGCAGCCTTTCCCCAGTAGCTGGAATCTTCGGCAACGATTGCTTAGACCACTGACCTGGTCTGTTACAGGCAGAGTGGCCGTGGGTATCAAAACCTAGTCCCCCATCACTCTAGACAGGAGGCTCTGAATCCCCCCAGACATGGGCTATTTTGTTGGCAAGTTCAGAGGGATGTTAGTGAGGCTTATTCTAAGGAGTCTTTGTAGAAAAGAGCACCGCACCCATGATGATTCGTCTGTAGAGCACAGGGCTGGTTTTGAGGCGGTTGAGAGGAGAGTCCAAGGGTTCTTTTCCAAATACCAACAACCAGATATGTCACTCTGACACCAGCGAGTCCTGCCATTCTCCGACACCAACTGGGAATCCAATAGTTCAGTTCCGACACTAAGTGCCACCCAGAGTTAGTGGAGGCCCCACAGGTTAAAGGCTCAGTCCCACAAGCCCACCCTCCCCCGCTTCAGATGCCAGCCACCAGCGGGGTCATTACAAATTCACTGGGTTCCAGGTTTGATAATTCAGTAGAACTTACAGAGCTCGGGAAAAACTATACGCACTACTACTACCAGCTTATTAAAAAGGATGCACCTCAGGATCAGCCAAATGGAAGAGAGAAGTGGAGCAGGGGCAGGGGTTGGGGGGCACAGAGCTGCCATGCTCTCTCCAGACATGTCACTCTCCCAGCACCTTGTGTGTTCACAAACCCAGAAGCTCCCTGAACCCCTGTCATTTAGAGTTTTTATAAAGGTTCCATCACATAGGAACCTAATGGCTGATTAAATCACTGGCCATTGGTGATTAAATAATTTCTGTTTAATGGAGGGATGGAGCTGCAAGCTGTAACTCTGTAATCCTGAGGTTGGTTTTTCTGGTGACCTGCCCTCATTTTTCAGTTATCTAGGCCTCCCCCACAATGACTCATTCATTAGCACACAAATGACAGTAAATTCCAAGGCTTTTAGGAGCTCTGTGCCAGGAACAGAACATGGGCAAAACCCAATGTCACAGGGACAAATTCACAATGGGCCGAAGCTTCCTCAGCTCGAGCTCTGCTCAAGCAAGGCAGGATGGAGTGGTGGGGATGGGAGGCAGCGATCCCACCAGCCCTGCTCCTCTCTCTGGCGGTGCTTAGGCATTTAGGCATCTTCCTCTCCTTAAAGAAGTAGACAGGCTAGAGCCCAAAACATGGCCTCTGTCACCTCCTGAATGAGCGGGCAGATGGTATGTTACAGACAAAAGAAACCAGTGCTAGAAAAGGTTTAAGGGGTTAGGAAAGACAGGAACCTGGAGAGGAGAAAAAAACAGAAATGGAAATGTGTCATTCCTATCAATTTAGGAGATTTTTGTTAAAAAGATCAATTCTTCTTCTCACGGGTGGCCTCCTGAACAAGGGTAGCTGCCACAGAGCTGAAGTTGACTAGTCAACCCTCAAGCGCCCCCTCACAAAAGAGCTCCCTTCCCTTCTGATGTTTCTCGGGTGCTCTCTCCATGACCCCGGATGTCCCTCTGATGCTGGCGCCTGCTCCCAGCTATGAAATCTTTCCCCTCTCTCTGAGGCCCCGCAGCCAGAGGCGTCCCTGAGGGATTAATATTTTGCAAAATATTTTGACATTTACAGATAATTTACTAAACCATTTGTTTCCATATAGAGGAAGTCATGCTTGCTGAAGAAAATAAAAATTCTGGAACGTCAGCCTTAGAAGGTAAGGGAAGTGCTCCAACCAAACGCTGGACTCCATTTGTGTTGCCCCCCTCTCGCGTGTGGCAGTCCCTCTTGATCGAAAGAGGAGAAAGGAATAAAAGAGAGGCACTCTGGGATTCGAAACCAAAGTCTCTCTGTCATAAAATCCCCTCATGCTTTCAAAGGAAAGGAATTGAGTCACAGATTTAAATGCCTTTTAAAGGGATAAAAACGAAGTCCAAGAGTTATTTTGTTC